CAACTGCCATGTGATTGGTTGATTAGATAATTGCATTAATGAGAAATTGAACAGGTGTTCCTAATAATCCTTTAGGTGAGTGTATATACAGTACATACATACACACACACAGCCTGGGAGAAGTTCAAAGTCACACTGACTCACCTTAACAGGATGCTGACATGCAGGCTGAGGGCGTCTGACCAATAGCATCATCTGACCCTCAGCTCCGCCCACCCCCAGCCTTGTGATTTTAATTAATCTTACCTAATTGTCCTAAGCTACAAACAATTACACAACTGAAAGATTGATTAATGCTAGTCATGCTACTTAGTAATTTGTTGCGGTTTCTTTGACAGGCATAAATCAGCCAAGCCAAACCAAGGGAATGAACATTTATCACCTGCACAAATGTAATTTTATCTTATTTTTTAATAACCTTTTGCATTAGTGCTTAAATAGTTATGACATCTAGATCATTATTTTGTAATGACTCAATCAAGAATAATTAACTCAAGTTGGCTGGAACAAATACCGGCACCAGGCTTAGGAATCCACTCCAGCGGGGAAATAATTGCTCTCAAGTTTTTGTCTCTGTTTTATTTTTTTTAATATTTAAAAGACATGTTGTTGGAGACACAGGAAGAAAAGGGCACAAAAAAGGGCCCTTCTGTAAGAAACCCCCCCTGGTCTCTCCGTGAGCAAGGATGCGGCCTCCCTCTCCTAGCCTGGTTACGAGTTCCCTCCTTTTCTCTGTGCTCTCTATTTTTAGAATGCTAAGGGGTAATTATACGGAGGACGATGACTCTCTCACAGCAGAAGGATGGGGCTTATTAATAAGGATCGCCTCATTGACTCCCCTTTGGTTTCACATCCGCTCTGTGTAAATCACCCTCCGTGGAGGAGGAGAGGCGGGGTGGCTGGTGTTATGGGTGGGGGTAGGGGAGGGGGGAGTTGAAATGTGCCCCCTAGATGTGTCTAGCGCTGCATGGATGGTGCATGTGTCCCATTCACACCCCTTGGCAAAGGGTATGATGGCTTTTCCCACAATGCACTGCATCATACACAGGGGGATGGAGGTGATGGGTATGTGCACATCACAAGGCTTAATTACATAATCGGTTAATTAGCCAATTATAACTGTAAAGGACCAGATTTTAAGAGCCACACTCTACAGGCCAAAGGGTAGATGTCATATTGCCAAATGTAGGTATTCAGGTGTTACTCATCTAGAAAGATTTTCACATTATTATTATTAATAACATTTCTGTTTTGCTATAAAACATGACATTTAAATCTTCAGAGTCATTTTTCCACCACATTGCATTCTCGTTTTTCCTTTGTTAAACATGTTTTCTATACACGTTATAAGTTTAATTTCATCCGCCTGGGTAGTTAATTAACCTTGGTGAGTGTGAATCAGTGTTAGCCTACCTGTCAGTGATCTCCTTACCTTCTGTAATTATTCCAGAGTTAGAGTGAGTGTGTGTGTTTGGGGGCTAGTCAGAGTTGGGGACCATGTGACCCTGTGTGCCCCCCCGGCTCGGGGTTTGAAGGGGGCTCAGGGCTAGCAGCTGAGGCAGAGTGCCGCTTGGCACAGCCCCCCCCCCCTCACGCTCTCTGCATAGCCCCTGTGGAACGCCACTTCTCTATAGATAAGCCTTAATTAATGTTCCTTTCCCAACAAAAGGGAGGCTCTTTTCCTCCAGGCTCAGGCTAACTCTCCCCACATAGATTAAAGCTGATGTGTTTGTCTCAGCCATTAAGCTTCAAAAGAGCCTCGGCGAGCCACACATCCTCCCTGCAACTCATCGCCTTGGCAACTTTGAAAAATTAAAAGTGCAGAGGCAAAAAAATTAGCTATAGGATGAAGAAAGAGTTGAAGTGGTGCCATGTTGCCGTCAGTCTTGGTCTGTGACGCTGATTTGTGC